CCCACCCACTTCTGTCCCACGGAGCAGCCTGTTGGGTTACCTAGAGCCTGCTGGCCTTTGATGGGGCCGTTGGGACACCTAGAACCCACCCAGACCTCCTGCCCCACGGAGCTGCCCGTTGGGGTACTTGGAACCCAACCAAATGTGCATCGTTGGGGGATTTAGAACCCCCAAATCTCTCACCCCATGGAGGTGCCCATTGGGGTACTTGGAACCCAACCTAAATGTGCATCGTTGGGACACCTAGAACCCGCCCAGATCTCTCACCCCATGGAGGTGTCCGTTGGGGTACTGGAACCCAACCAAATTCACCCTATTGGGGGATCTAGAACCCACCCAGCCCTCCTACCCCACAGAGCTGCCCAATGGGGTACTTGGAACCCAACCAAGTGTTCCCCATTGGGGGATCTAGAACCCACCCCATTGAGCTTCCTGTTGGGTTACCTAGAACCTGTTACCCTCTGGCACAGCAGTTGGGGTACCTAGAACAGGAGCTTCCTACCCCTTGGAGCACCCCGTTGGCACACCTAGAACCTCTTTACCCCGTTCCTGAGCCCAGGGGGGACCTAGAACCCCACCCAGGGGCAGGGACTGTCACCCCCAGCCCCCCCCCCCTTACCTTGAGCTTGGCACCGTCGAGGTGCAGGAGCCGGGGGCCATCGACGCCGTGTGCCGAGAACTCCTCCACGTACTGCTCCAGGTTGAGGCTCTCCAACCACTGCCCCACCTGCCGGCACGTCCAGCCCGCGGCGGCGCCGGGGGGCTCGTCCAGGAACTTTTGGGGCAGGAGGAGGGCGTTAGCGAGGGACGCCGACCTCGTGGCCCCTAAAACCCTGGGTGGGGTGTGGGGGGGGTCTCACCTCGTCCGAGGACTGGGACAGCGTGTGGTAGGGGTAGGAGCACTTGGTGGTGGTGGTGGGCCGGGCAGGCGCGGGCTGGAGCTGGGCGGCGGGGAGTCATCGCTCAGCGGCGAGTCCTGGGGCGGCGGGAGGAGCGAGGGCTGGTGCCCCCAGAGCAGCCTGCCCCCCCCCCCCCCCCAGCCCCCTTCTTGTCCTCCCCACAGGGCTGGGACACCCTAGGTGGCTACCAGACCCTATAAGGGCTTCGATACCCCAATAGCTATCTTGACCTATAGGGCTTTGATACCCCGATAGCTATCTTGACCCTATAAAGGCTTTGATACCCTGACAGCTATCTTGACCCTATAAAGGCTTTGACACCCCAATAGCTATCTTGGCCCTACAGGCTTTGATACCCCGAAAGCTATCTTGACCCTACTGGACAGATCCCCCTACCCAACCCTATGGGTCTCTCATCCTCCCCCCATAACTGTCTTGGCCCTACGGGGCTTTGATCCCCTCCCCAGAGTTATCTTGACCTTATGGGGCTTTGATCCCCTTGTCTGTAGCCACACAACCCTATAGATTTGACCCCCTCCCCTATAGTTATCTCGACCCTATGGGGCTTTGTCCCCCTACCCAAACCCAAAGACCTTTGACCTCTTCCCCTGCAGTGACCTCACCCACAGAAGCACCGACCTTCCCTACACATCCTGGCCCTATAGGACTCCCGTTCCCTCCCCTACACCCACCTGCCCCAACAGGGGGATCGGGGACCCCCGGGCACTGACCTGGGAGGCGGATTTGGCGGGGCTGAGCCCCTCGTGCCGGGGGGAGCCAGCGGGGGACGCGGAGCCGGGGGACGCCGAGCCCCTGGCGCTGTCCGAGAACCAGGAGAAGGGCAGGAACGGGGACCCCGAGGGGCGACCGGGACCCTCCGACGCCTCCCTGGGGACAGAGCCATGTATTAGGGTCCTTGAGCTGCCCCCACCCGCTGTAGGGGGCCCAGCAGCCCCCCCATGATGGGGGGGGACCCCCACCTGCTGCCCATGGACAGGCGGTTGCTGCCCTTCTCCTTGCGGCTCTTGCTGGAGGACGCCCGGCGGAGGGTGACCCTGCGTGGGGGGAGTGGGGTGGAGAGATGGGTGCCCCGGTGGCCCTGCGCCCCCCCCCCAAAACCCATCAGCCCCCCAGCCCTCACTCCCTCTCCTCCATCCATCCATCCATCCCTACGGAGACCCCCCCCACCTCCCTGTCCCTCCAGCCCCCCCTCCATTCATCCCCCCACCTTTCCCTTGCCCCTCACCCCCCCCCCCACCCTCTGTCCCCATCCACCCCTCCCCACCCCCTCAACCCCCCCCACCCCCGAAACCCCCCCATGGGACTGGGGCTCACCCCAAATCCAAGAACTTCCTCCGCGTCTTCTTATCCAGCCCCAGGTGGGGCTGGCCGGCTCGGGGGGGCTCATGTCCCTGCTGTCATCTGCAGGATGAGGACGGGGGGTGTCACCCAGCGCCCCTGCTTGGGGGTGCCTTGGGGGGGGCGTGAATTTGGGGAGGGGGGGGCTCACCTTCGCTGTGCCGCTGGGGCCGTGCGTCGCGGCGGGCGAAGCCGGGCGAGCTGTCGGAGCTGGGGCAGGATTTGGGCGAGGGGGTGCCCGCCAGCCCCTCCTGGGACGAGGCGTTGGTGAGGGGCCGGTAGCGGCTGAGGGGGGGCGAGGGGGCCGGGGGGGGCTCCCCCAACGCCCTCCTCACCGCCCCCGCCTCGAAGGAGAACTCGGCGCCGCGGGAGAAGGGCGAAGGGGCCGAGAGCGGCGGCGCGGCGGGGGGCGAGCAGCCGGGGGCCACGGGGCTGCCCTCGGCTCCCTGGGGAGGGGGGGGGACGGAGGGAAAGGGAGGGGGGGGGCACATGGCACGGGGGCGTCAAATCCCTGTGCCCCCCCCTCATCCTCACCCATTGGGGGCTCTCCAAATCCCCCCGGTGGTGCTGTCCCTTGCGTGATCCTCCCTCTCCACCCCTTCCCCAAATTTTTCCTGGGGGGGGTCTGGTGCGCCCCAAATCCCTTCGCCCCCCCCCCCACTCCCGGGGGTCTCACCGCCGCGTCGAGCCCCTCCTCGCCCTCGGTGGAGCTGGCGCTGTCTCGCAGGCGGGAGCGGGAGGGTCGGTGCCGGCGGCCCTTGGCTAGGAGCCGGGCTCGAGCCTTCTGCAAGCTGCTGTCCAGGCGCGGCGTCTCTGGAACCACAGCGGTAAAATCTGGGGGTGAAAGAGAGACCGGGGCAGAGAGGGACGGACGGACGGACGGATGGACGGACGGAGGGATGGATGGATGGACGGACAGATGGACGGGGAGGTGGGAGGGGTGGGGGGGCGCGGATGGGGATGGGGATGGGGATGGGGGTGGGGAGGGGAAGGGTGGGTAAAGGGCGAGGAGGTGGGAGAGGGGTGGACGGACGACGGACGGACGGACGGATGGATGGACGGACAGGGGGAGGGAAAGGGAGGTGGGGATGGACAGACGGACAGACGGGTGCAGGGATGGGGGGGCGAGGGCGGACGGATGGACAGGTAGGGATAAAACAGGGGGGGTGGGGAGGGGCAGGGACATGGAGGAGGGAGGGATGGGGGAGGACAGGAGGGGAGGGGGGGGGGCAGGAGGGCAGACGGAAGGGACAGACGGACAGGGACAGACGGACAGGGACAGACGGACGGGTGGTCAGGAAGAGAAGGCCACCCCGGGGACAGGGAGGGGACAGAGGGACAAGGGACGGGGACATGGGGACAGGGAAGCACGGGACCAGCGGGATCCCGAGGAGAGGGCAGGGGGCGAGGGGGGGGGGGCGGCGTTGGGGACACGGGGACGGGGGGGGGCACCCCGGGGGGGTGGGACGGGGACGGGGGGGACAGAGAGAAGTGTTCAGAGGTGCCCGCAGCGGGGACCGGGGCTGTGGGGTGTCCCCAGGGACCCAATGTCCCCGTCACCCAGGGTCTGGCCCCCCTCGGGGTCAGAGCCCTGGGGTGCTGACCCCAAATCCTGTGGGGGGGGGCAAGTGGCACCCCCCCGCCCTGCTGTGCCCCAAACCCAGGGGGTGGGTGGCTCAGGGCAGCGTCCCCTGGTTGTCCCCGTGCCATGTGCCCCGTGTGTGTCCCCATGTCCCCGTGTCCCCCTGTCCCCACCCCCCCACATCCCTGCCCCCCCATCCCTGTGTCCCCCCCCCCCCAACCACATCCCTGCCCCCCCCCCACATGTCCCTGCGTCCCCATGCCCGACCCCACAGGTGACCCCCCCCCCCCAAAAAAAAGGTGACCCCATCACCACCACAACACCAAGAGGGTGCGGGGGGGGGGGGAAAGCAGGGTCAGCACCCCCCACTGGGTGCTGCCCCCCCCCACTTCAGGCCCCCCCAGGGACTCACCGAAAACCTCATCCTCCGCGTCCTGCAGCTTGGGGACCGACATGGGGGGCAGGGCTGGGGGGGGGGCCGGCTCCCAACTGAGGCTCGAGCGCGCCCCAAAGTCTCCCGGGACCCCCTGGGGGATCCCGCACAGGCAGCCTGGGATCCAGCGCCCAAGTCGATCTCTTTCGCTCCGTTACGGGGTGGTCGCGCCCCGCGGCAGGATCCGGCGTGACCCCAAAACCCAGGCAGATCTACTGCGATCCGGCGGGGGATCCGGCGCCAGGAGGAGGATCGGGCGCACGCCGGCAGCGCCCCAAGCAGATCCCCGGCGATCCGGGGCAGGGCGCGGCGGCGGTGGGAGCAGAATCCGGTGGGAGCAGATCCCAGGGCAGATCCCGGGGCAGATCCCAGGGCAGATCCCAGGGCAGATCCCAGCCGGCATGGGATCCGGTGGCCGGGGCGCACAGTCCAGAGGGAGCCGGCACCCGGGCGGCTCCGCTGCCGCCCAGCACGGGATCCGGCGACCGGAGCGAGAGTAGATCTGCTGTGATCCATCCCGGGAGCGACGCGGTGGCGAAAGCGGCGGCGGAGCGAGGGGCCAGGCGGCGGCGGGGTCATGGCCGGATCCGGCCGTGCCCGCGGGGCCCCGGGGCTCAGGGGCAGCCCGCGTCCCGGCGTCCGGTGCCCACCTTCTCCTGCAGCTTCTCCATCTCCTCCTTGTGGGCCAGCTCCGACTCCTCCAGCACCCGCCGCTGCGCCGTCTCCTTCTTCAGGAACTCGATCTCCCTGCCAGGGGGGGGGACATAAACGTGTGGGTGCACGGCACTGGGGATGGGGGCTGTGCCCCTCGGCTGGGGGGGGAAGATGGGACAGATGAGGGGGTCCCCAGGGTTTGGGCATCGTGGAGAAATTGTGCCCAATGTGGTGGTGGTGCCCAGGGGTCTCCATGGGGATGGCCCCTGCCTGGGGATACGGGGTTCCCAGGATGGAACTGGTGCCCAGGGAATGGGGTCGTGCCCAGGGGATGGGGTCGTGCCCAGGGGACAGGGACATGTTTAGGGAATGCTTTGTCAGCAGGGACAAGGGATGAGTTGGTGCCCTCAGGATGAGTCCGTGCGCAGGGAATGGTCCGTGCCCGGGGACAAGGGGTGCCCAGGATGGAATTGGTGCCCAAGGCTGTGCCCAGGGGACAAGGTCGTGCATAGGGGATGGGATCAATTGTCTACAGGGAAAAGGAATGAGCTGGCACCCTGAGGATGACACCATGCCCAGGGGATGGTCCGTGCCCAGGAACCAGGGGTGCCCAGGAAGGGGTCGGTGCCCCGGGGACGTGTCCATGCCCGGGGGAAGGCTCCGTGCGCAGGGCCCTGCCCTCACTTTTGCTGGTACTCCTTGATCAGCCTCTTGGCCTTGCTGTACTTGCGCTCCAGGGTCTGGTACTGGGCCTGCGTCTCCTTGAGGTGCTCGTCCACGGCCTGGCACAGATTCTGCGCCTCCATCCAGTAGCCCTCCAGCTTCTCCATGCGCTCCTTGTTCTCCTCCACGCTCTGCTCCAGCTGGGCCTTCTCAGCCCGCCACCGAGCCTTCTCCTGCTCGAGGCACTGCAGCTGGGGGACAACAGGGTCAGGGCACGGCACGGCACGGCACGGCACCGCACAGGATGGCTCAGCACAGCACGGGATGGCACGGCACGGTGTGGCCAAAGAGCAGGGATGGCACGGCACAGCACGGCACGGCACGGCACGGCACGGCACAGCACCTCTGGGTGGGCTGGGGGGGAGATGCAGGGATCTGGAAGGAGATGCAGGGGAGCTGGGGGGGTGGAGGGCGCACCCGGGACCCGCTCACCTTCCTCTTCAGCTGCTGGATCTCAGCCTCGGTGACGGCGTGCTTGATCTGGAGCTGCGAGAGGAGCCGGGCGTTCATGGGGCGTGGGGACGTGGTGGGGTGTCCCCGCACCGCCCCCACGTGCACCCCCATCCCCTCCCTCTCCCCCCAGCCCCTCTTCACCTCCTTGAACTTGTGCACCAGCTTCTCGGGGTCCATCTCCACCGGCGAGAGCGTGTCCTCGTTCTCGGCCAGCTCGAACACCTCGATGGCCATCTCGCCACTGGGGAACATGGGGCTCATCTCCTCCTCCTCGTCCGTGGCGTACTCCCCCGTCTGCGGTGGGCACGGAGCGAGGTTGGCACGGGGCAGCTCCCCCCCGGGACCCCCAAATTGGGGAAACCGAGTCACCAAATCGGGCAGAGGCCGCGTCTGTCCCCTCCTGGGGGGTGCTGTCCCTTCCCTCACCTCCTCGTCGTCCTCGGTGTACTGGGTGTAGCGCTGCTCTATCATCTCCCGCTGCCACCGCTCCTGCTCCAGCGTCTGCTGGATCAGCTGCGCCACCTCGCTCTGCTCGCCCGGCTTCTCCCGCCCGATGAGGAACCTGCGGGGACAGCGGGGGGCTCAGCTGGGGATGGGGGGGGGGGGGCTCAGATTGGGGACACCCAGGTGGCACAACCAGGGGAGGCTCAGGTGGGGGGCATCCCCACTAGGAGTGATGAGTTTGGGGGCACATTATGTTCAGGGAGGGGATTTGGGGAGGGCAAGGTGGCATAAGGCAGGCAGTGGCCATGGGGACAGCAGGGATCAGGGGGTATTTGGGGGCAGGGGGTGCTGTGGGGGCAGCGTGCCCCCGTGTGTGCCCAGCCCCGGGCCCTACCGGACGCGGCCCTTGGTGTTCCTGAGCACGGAGGCGGCGAAGCTCTGCGTCACCCCCACCAGGCTGGTGCCATCCACCTCCACGATCAGGTCGTTCACCTGGATCCTGGGGACAAGGGGACGGTCATGGCGCTGCCACCCCCTGCCCACCTCCCCAGCATCTCCCAGCTCCCCCAAAGCCCACGGGGGTTGCAGCAGCAGGAGTCTGGGGGAGGGATTTGGGGCCGGGCACCCCTTACCTGCCGTCCCGGTGGGCTGCACCCCCTTCCGTCACCGTCTTGACGAAGATGCCCAGCTTCTCCAGGCCCATGTCGGCCCCCGCTCCCATGCCGATGATGCTGATCCCCAGCCCCTCGGAGTCTGCTGGAGACAGAGAGCTGTGTCCCCGGGGGTGGCAGCGGTGGCTGCTGAGCACCCGACACCAATGGGGTCACCTCGGATCCGTCCCTGAGGCTCTGGGGAGCAGGACGAGGCCAGGACCCACCTTTCTCCAGCTCCACGGGGAAGAGGTCGAGGCGCTCCACCCTCTTCTCCAGCTCGTACTCGGCCGACGCAGCCATGGGGTCGACGTCCTCATTGCGGCGGTCGTAGTCCTCGTTGGAGTAAGTGCTGAAGACCTGGCGTGGGAGGGGGGCGGGGGCATGGAGAGGGGGGTTACGGATCCTACGAGGCACTGGAGAACCCCCCCAGCCCCACAGCACGGTGCGGGATGAGGAAGAGTCTGAGGAAGGACGGAGGGGGGCTTGGGGTGGCTTCGGGAGTAGAGGTGGCTCCGTGGGGAGGGAGGGAGGGATGGACAGACGGATGGGTGGATGGATGGATGGATGGATGGATGGATGGATGGATGGATGGACGGACGGACGGACGGACGGACAGATGGATGGAGGGAGGGATGGAGGGGTGAAATGGCAGATGGACGGATGGGTTGGAGGACAGATAGATGGACCAAGGGAGGGTAGAGAGGGGTGGGTGCATTGGTGGGTGGGTAGATGGATGCGTGGATGGGTGGGCAGATAGAGGGGTGGACGGATAGATGGGTGGAGGGATGGACAGATGGATGGACCCATGGAGGGATGGACAGATGGATGGATGGAGAGATGAACAGATAGACGGACGGACGGACGGGTGGATGAAATGGCAGGTGGATAGGTGGATGGACGGACAGACAGATGGACCAAGGGATGGCTGGATGGACAGGCAGATAACTGGATGGATGGACAGGTGATGGACAGACGGACAGACGGGGTGCACCAGCAGTGGCTGCTCAGAGATGCGCAATTTGGGGCAGCAGACCTGGTTCGTTCCCCTGCTCCTCCCCTCATCCTCCTCATCCTCCCCCCTTCCCCAGCCACAGGCTCCCCAGGGGGGGTCTCTCAGGGGTGGGGGTCCCGGTGCTGAGCACGGCAGATGTCCCCAGAGGGGCCGTGGTGGATTAGGGCTAACACCACACCGCTAAAGCCTTGCAACAAAGGGTATTTAGGGATGAGTGTCAAGGGCCATCGCACAAAGCCCAGTGACACCGAGACGGGCAGGACCCTCCTGGGTGGCACGCAGGGGTGCTGGGGACAAACTGGGGACCTGCCACTGTCCCCCTGCATGTGGTCCCCGGGGAGGTCCAGGCATGGATGTCCCGCTGTGCCACCCGGCTCTGTGCCAAGGTCCTTGAGGAGTTTGGGATGTGCAGGGGACCCGGAGCAATTCCCAAAGGAGAAGCAGATGGGGGCAGTAAACGGCCTGGGGAGGGGGCTGGCAGCGGGTACCCCCACCCCTGGGTGCAGGCTGGGTGCTGGTCCCCAGTGCCTCCCAGTCACAGGGGGCTCAGGATGCTCAGGGTGTGGGACATGTGGGTGCCCTGCCCACCCATGCCCACGGGACCCCACGGAGGGACGGGGCAGGGGGCACACACCGGAGGCTGAATGCATCACCTGGGGGGCGCAGAGCACCCCAAAAAGCTCAACTGTGCATCCACGGGGGAAATCCCTTCCTGGAGCTGGGCCGGCCGGTCCCCATGGTACCAAACCCCCGGTGTGCACCCAGCCGGTGCGCGGCCACCGCAGGACCCTGTCCCCACACCGGGCCACCGTGGTCCCCGTCCCCCGTCCCAGGTGGGGCCACCCACCCGCCGCTGACTCAGAGCCAGAATATAGGCCGTGCCGCTAAAAATAACCCCGCTCGGCACAAAGCAATTTCTGTTCCTCCAGCTGAGGGGATAGGAGCACGAGAGAAAGCCCCGAAATAGCGGCGCGGCCCCTTCTCCCCGCTGTGCCACCGCCGGCACCGGCCACAGACCCCGGCACGAGATGGGGACCCCAAATCCCGGAGCTGTCCCTGCGTCCCCGAGCTGCCCGGGGTGTGGGGGGGGCGGGCAGCTCTCGTGGCTGGCCCCCGCCTGCCCGTGCTGCTGAGACACTTCCCCTTCCTCCACTTCCCGAAATGGTCCCGCGCTGGGCCCGAGAGGGGGGGGAAAGGGGGGTAGCAAACATCCTCCCCCCAAAAACCCTGGCTCTGGGAGGGGTCCCGGCACTGGGGGACCCTGGGGACCTATGCAGAGGGGTGGTGGCATGGCCTGGTGGCTCCCGGCAGCACTCAGGGCCCAGCCGGATATTTTGGGCATCCCCACCCAAAATACCGAGTGGCTCCCAGTCCTTCCTGGGGCACATGGTGCAAACGTGCCACCCCCTTAGGCCTCGATGTCACCCCCCCCTGCCATGTACCACCATCCCCAGGGCCCCACGGCTGGGGTGCCCACCCCACACTGCATCCCCATCCCCTCCCAGTATGGCCATGCCGGGGCTGCAACCCCACCAGTGTGCCTGGGCCACCTCCCATCCGGCTGCACCCAGCCACCGGGTGCTCCCCAAAGGGGTCTTTTTGGGGTACAAGGACGCACCAGAGCCCCTCTGCCCTTCTCCAGGCTGGGTCACCAGCTCCTCCCCAGCCCTGCACACTTGGCCATGGGCAATGGGGCAGGAGGTTGCCCATCGCCACCTCCATGGCCTTGAGGCTGGAGGGCGCACCCCAAAACTCCTGATTTCTCCTCCCAGCTCCGCCCGGGTACCCCCAAAGCCCCGCGGCCGGGCTCACCTGGATGGGGGCCGTGCTGAACTGGATCTTGCGGTTGGGAACGGGCTCCTCTTCCTCGGACAGCCCGGGGATCTCCACGCAGCTGGATTCGGGCTCGTAGAGCCCATCAGCCTCCTCATCCTCATCCAGCCCGCTGCCCCCCGAGTCCTCCCCGAGCCCGCTGTAGGCACTTATGTCCACCAGGTCCGCCTCGGAGAAGTCCTCCTTCTTGGACTCGTCGTACAGCTCGCCCTCGTCCGCCCGCTCACCCTTGACGCCCTCCTCGGTGTAGGGGGGCTCCTCGCCCCCTTCCAGGCGCGGCTCGGGGGGCGCCGGCCCCTCGGCCCCCTTGGCTGGTTCGGGCGCTGGCACCGGCTCTCCGGCCTCCACCTCGGCCTCTGATTCACCGCTCTCCTCCACCTCCACCGGCTTGATCTTGCAGACCTCCTGCACCCGCGGCACGCTCCCATCCTTCTCCGCCGGCCTCCCGGCTTTGCCCGCTGCCTTCTCCTCCTCTGCTGGCCGTGGCCGTGCCGGGGCAGCGGGGCCGTCTCCCGTCCTGCTCTCAGCCTTGCCAGCCTCCGTGCCCTGCAGGAAGACGCGGGACCGCTTGCTCACCAGCTTGGAGTTGAGCGGCCCCGCGCGCCCCGGCGTCTTGTGGAGGTTGTTGCGGAGGTCGGCCTTCTCGAAGACGGCGCTGAGCTGGCTGACGGTGGGCGACACGGCCTCGGTGTCCAGCTTGTCCAAGGACTCGGTGCTGCCATTGAACTTCACCACCACGTCCAGCTTGCGGTCCTGGAAGCCGGCCCGCTCCTTGCGCAGCAGGAGCTTGGTGGTGGCCTCCTTCTCCTGCGGGCTCCGCTCGAAGATCTTGCGGGTCTCCTGCAGCTTGGAGAAGGGCTTGTCGGGCTTGGAGTCGAAGCGGCTCACCCGTTCCGAGACGCTGGTGCCCAGCTTGAGGAGGTTGCCCTGCTCCATGCTCTCATTCAGGCTGCTGGCCCGGGGCAAGGAGAGGCGGACGGGCTTCTCCTTGCCCTTGGCCAAGTCGCAGGCGCCCTCGGGGCCCGGCGCCGTCCCCATCTGCAGGAACATGTTCTTGATGCGGTGGACGTTGGAGCCATACTTCTTGCCACGGGCTTTCTTGCCATCCTCGCCCTCGGCATCCTTTGTGGGTTTCAGGGCCTGGATGGTGGCCTCGTAGGCGTTGCGGTGGGGGGACGCGCTCCTCAGCCCCCCGCTGCCAGCTCCTCCGCCCGGGGCCCCCCCGCTGCCGCCCGGGGCTGCCGCCCCGCTCGCTGCCTCCGTCCTCAGCATCCTGCCCCGTCGTCACCGTCACCGCCGCCGCCGCCGCGCCGCATCGCCCGCCGGCTGCTGGGGCGCGGGGAGGGGGCCGCTGCCGGGGGGCCGCCGGGGACCCGGTCAGGCCATCGCCAGCCTGGGGGGGCCCAGCGCGCCCCCCCCCTCCGCCCCGGCCCTCCTTCCTTCCTCCCTTCTCCTCCTCTTCCCCTTTTTCTCCGCTGCTGCGCTGGTGATGGAGCCGCTGCTGCCTGCGATCCGCCCGCCCCGCTGCACGCAGAGCCCTCTGGGTCTTAGCGACGCGCTCTTGCTCTTCCTCTTCCTCGCCGCCGCGCTTCGGCCTCGCCGCTGCCGTCACCCCGATCCCCTCCCCGTGTCCCCCCCCTTTTCCCGTGCCCACCGGTGGCACCGGCACCGCCGTGGTCCCCTTCAGCCCCCAGCTCTCCCCATGCGTCCCCTCCGCGCAGCTGGGGATGTGCCGTGTCCGTGTCCCCCCCCCATCATTGTCCCCCCCCCCAGGCCTTGTGCAATGTCCCCCCACCCCAGCTCTGTCCCCACAGCCCCCCTGGGGTCTGCCCCCACCCCACGTGTGTCCCCAGGGCCCCCCAATTTCATCCCTGGGGACCCTGAGCCCTGGACCGTGGCCAAGCTGCTTCTGCCCCTCTGCCCCCCTGCCCCCCCAGTTCCATCCCCATGGCCCCCAGGATGGTCCCCGTGTCCCCTCAGTCCTGGCCACACGCCCCCCACTTTTGTCCCCACATCCCCTTTATCTGCCCCCACATCCCCCCAGTATCCCCAGTATCCCCCCAGTTTTGTAGTCTTCTCCCCCAGCCTGTCCCATATCCCCCCAGTTTTGTCCCCCACGTCCCCAGTGTCCCCCATTCCTTGCTCCGTGTCCCTCCACTTTCATGCCCATGTCCCCCCCATCCTGTCCCCGTGCCCCTCCTGGCTCTGTGCCCGTGTCCCCCTGCTCCCTCCCCTGTGCCCCCCCAGTTTTGTCCCCCATGTCCCCTGCTCCCCTCCCTTTGGTCCCCACACCCCCGCACCCCCAGCTCCCTGGGGTGTCCCAGCGTGTCCCTACAGGGTCCCCATTTACTTTCTGCCCCCACAAACCCGTGCCCCTCCCCAGGGTGCTGCCCATCTGCCCCACACCTCAATGGGGGGGGGGGCATGAGGAGGAATATTTTGGGGGGGGGTTATTTAGGTTCTCCTCCCTTCCCTGCGGCATGGGCACCGTGGGGACCAGGGCGCACAGAGTGGCACCATTTTGGGGTGCCTGTGGGATGAGCACCCCAAAAAAGCCACACACTCATGTGGAATGGGGGGAGAAGGGGGGACAGGGTAGGGACACCCCTACTTGTGTCCCCCCCACAGTGACAGGCCCGTGAGGGGGGGGGGGGGCATGCACTGGTGAAGGTGGGGGCGCCAGGACCCTGCAGCTGCTGCGCTGCCGGCCCTTTGTGCGTGACGAGACGTGACGTGGCGTGACGCGGCGCGGCGCGACGGCCCCCACGGCCCCCCCCTTCCCCTTCCGCTGCAAAATCTGTGCCCCCCCCCAGCTCCTTTCCCCCCTCCACCACCAGCCCTGCGGTCTCCCAACACCCCCCCCCCACGGCTGCGTCCTGCCAAGGGCTTGGGGGGGGGGCTTGGTTCTGCGCCCCACCTTGTGCACGCACACGCGTGTGCACACGCGTGCACCCCATGGACATGTGTGTGTGGGGCAGCGGTGCTGGCCGGCCACATGCCACGCTGGCGGGGGGGGGGTCAGCTGTCCCCAAATGTCCCCCCACCCCCATGTGCCACACCGTGCTGTTGTGACCCGTTGTGCACCGTCGTGTGCCATCGTGTCCTGTTGTGCCCCATGGTGCCCGTCGTGCCCCATTGTGCCCAGCCATGCCCAGTTGTGTCCCGTTGTGTCCTCCTGTGCCCCCCCATGCCCTCTTGTGCCCTGCTGTGCCCCACCGTGCCCCATTACATCCCATTGTGCCCCATTGTGCCCCGTTGTCCCCTCTTGTGCCCGGCGGTGTCCTGCCATGCACCATCCTGCCCCGTCGTGTCCCACTGTACCCCACTGCGTCCCGTTGTGCCCCGTCCTGTCCCGTTGTGCCCCGTGGTGTCCCATTGTGCCCCATCCTGTCCCACTGTGCCCCCGCTGCCACCCCAACCCCCACAAGCCATGGCACCAGGACGAGCCCACCCAGAGCAGAGGGCGCAGCGGGGTCCCACCACGCACCCCTTGGTGTCCCCGCTCCTCCCCAGGGGCAAAAGGGACTCGGTGGCACAAGGCCGGGCTGGCAGGAGGTGGCCATGGCAGGGTCCCCGCCGTGTCCCCGTGCCCCCAATTTGGGCCCCCCCGGGCTGGCCAGCCCCGCTGCTGCTGTCACTCAGGCGCTGGCCCCGCTCCCGGTGAAGATGGAGGCGCCCGAGCTGCTGCGGGTCTGGGTGCTGGCAGGCGAGTGGCAGCCCCGTCACCCACCCTGGGGACACGGCCGGGCCTGGGGGAACCCCCCCCTGGCAGGGAGGGCATGGGGGGGACCCCCAGAATGGGGCAGGGAATGGGGAGGGAATGGGAGGGGATGGGGGAGCAGAGCTGAATAAATCCGTCCTATCCCTGGTGCCAGGCGGGCTGGGGACCGAGGGGGAGCTCTTTGTGGGGGGGGGGGTATAGGGGAAGAGGAAGGTGCTGGCCCTGTCCCCATTCCTGTCCCCTCCCCTGTCCCCAACACCTCCCAGAAATATCCCTGCCCTGCTGTCCCAGTGCCTGGCACCACAGGGACGTGCGCCCCAGGGGGGGCTGTGGGTGCCATGGGGGCGCTGGGCAATGGGGAAACTGAGGCAGGGAGGAGCCGTGTCCCCCAGCCCCGGTTCCAGCCCCGTGCCTGGCCGCAGCCCTGGTCCTGGGGGGCACCCGGGCCGCCCTCCCCGACCACCACGTCTCCCTCGAGACCGGAGCCGTCTTCGTGCACGAGCTGGAGCGGGAGCTGTTCCAGGAGGCCTTCCTCGACGAGGCCGAGGATGATGATGATGGTGAGGGTCAGGCTGAGGGGAGTGGGGACACGGGGGTCCGGGGGCCAGGGGGAATAGGCTGGGGGGGGACTGAACTATCCCCTATGTGTGTGAACACCCAGCTAATGGGGGCAGTGGCTTACTCCTGCCCCTGGCAGGCGTGACCCAAATCTCCCTCCCTCCTAGCATCCATCCGTCCATCCATCCCAAATCCATTTGGGGACCTCTTGCCCTCGAGCACTGCCGGGCTGGGGAGGGGGGGCTCCTCCATTTGGGGTTATTCACCCCCAAAAGGCAATCAGGACCCTCCATTGAACCCAGTTTCCTCACGGGGAAGCGCTCTGTTGGGAAGGGTTCGCGGGGCGGGGGTCCCCCCGGATGACACACATGTGTCCCTGTGTCCCCGTGTCCTGTGTGTCCCCCCCACCCGACAGCCGCCCCCATCACCTTCCATGCCCACCTCCTGGACCACCCCGACCTCCCACGGTGGCTGCGTTTCGCCCAGCGCGGTGCCCACCAGCCCGGCTTCCTCTACGGCAGCCCCACGGCCGCTGAGGTGGGCACGCACATCATCGAGGTAAGCGCCCGGCCTCGTGCAAAGCGCACGGCCTCGTGCAAGGGGGCGGCACGGGGCGCTGGGGTGCGCGCCCCCGGGGGTGGGAATTTGGCATCCTCGAGGCCGGGGCATCTCCTCCTCCTCCTGCAGGTGCTGGCGTACAACCGGCTCACCTACGAGACGGTGGCACAGCGGCTCGTCCTCGCCGTCGTCCCCGCTCCAGGTGAGGGCTGAGCACCCCCAAAATGCGCTACCCCCGAGCCCCCAGTGTGGGGTGGTCCCTACAGGTGTGTGTCCACAGGGGGGGAGCCGCCGTTCCAGAGCGAGTTCCTGGTGGGGAACAGGAACGTGGAGGAGCTGCTGCCGGCCCCTGCGCGGGAGCTTTTTGGGCAGGCGGCGGCTGGTGTCTGGGAGCAGAGCGACCTCAGCATCATCAACGTCACCTCCGCCCTGGACCGCGGTGGCCGCGTGCCCCTGCCCATCGAGGGACGCAAGGAGGGGTAGGGGGGCCACCACCCGGCTGCCTGGCCTGGGGTCGCACTTGGGAAGCTCTCCCCTGCCTTCCCCCAGGCACCCACGCAGGGGTTTTGGAGGTCTCCTCCTGAAAGCCCCTCCCAAATTTCAGGGTGTACGTGAAGGTGGGCTCCCACCACGCCTTCTCGCCGTGCCTGGCCGCCGCCGCCTCACCGCAGAGCCGCTTCCTCTGCCGCCTGGGCCAGCAGCCCCTCGCCTCCTGCTACGACACCTTCGCCCCCCACTTCGCCATCCGCTGGTGCAACCTCACCCTGGTGAGACCCCCGTGCCCGCGTCCCCACCCCCCCAGCAACGTTCCCACCTCTTCCCTTTAACCATCCCCCCCCTCAATTCCAGCTGGAGGTCCTGCCCACCCCCACGACGCCGGGGCCGCTGTGGGGTCCCGGGGTGCTGGAGGACTGGGGGCGATTTCCAGCCCCCCACCGAGTCGCCCCCCCAGGACCTCCTGCCCGGTTTCCTGCTGACTTTGCTGGTGCCACTGGCGGTGGCCGCGCTGCTCTGCCTGCTCCTGGGGCACCTCATGTGCTGCCGCCGGGAGGGAGTGTGAGTCGGGCACTGGGGGGGGGCACAGCCCGGCACCCCTAACCCAAGGGGAGGGCACGGGGGTCCCCTCTCCCCGACGGGGCACCCCGCTTCGGTGTCCCCTTCCCCGGCGCTCGTGGTCTGGGGACAACCCGGGGGTGGTGACAGCACTTCTCACCATCTGGTTTTTGTTTTGTTTTTCTTCTTTTTTTTTTTTTTTTCCCATTTCTGCTCCATTTTGTAGGCAAAAACGGGATTTGGAGACGTCTGAGTAAGTCCCTGCGCCCCGGCCGTGGGTTTGCTCGGGGGGTGGGGTGGGGCTTGGGGTGTGACAATTTGGGGGGCACAGGGACGGGGAGGTGACGGGGAGCAGCAGCCGCTGCCTAGCTGATGGGGGAGCTGAATCCTGAAGGTCCCCCCACCCCAAAAGGACCCCCGCCCCTCCCCCCCCCCCCCCCCCCCAATAACCCCACACAGACAAAGGCTGGAGCACCAGGAGCCGCTTTACTTCCCCATCCTCCCCCTGCTTCACACCGGGCGCGGAGAACCCCCCGAGAACCCCAGTTCCCCAAAAGGGGCGCGGGTGGCTCTGCGCCCCACTCCCCTTTTCCCCCCTCCCACCCCCCCAGCATCCAGCTGGTGCACCACAGCACCATCCACGGCGACACGGAGGAGCTGAGGAGCATGGCCAGCAGCCGGGACGTCCCGCGGCCCCTCTCCACCCTGCCCATGTTCAACGTGCGCACGGGGCAGCGCATCAACCCCATGCCGGGGCGTGGGGACGGGGCGCGCGCCCCCCTCATCCCGCAGCAGCGGTGAGCGCTGGCACCGGGGTGACACCTTTTTGGGGGTGGCACTTTAGGGTTGGCATTTTAGGGGTGGCACCTTGGGATGGCACCTTAGGGTGGCACATTTTTGGGGGTGGCACTTTAGGGTGGCGCAGGGCTTTGGGGTGACTTTGCATGGCACCACCAGGCTGCGCATGGGGTATTTTGGGGGGAACCTGCAATTATTTGGGGGTGGTGACCACCTTCCAGGTGTGCTGGGGGGCGCAGAGCAGGTCCTGTGCCCATCCCACCCAACCCAACCTAATCTGCCCCAGCTGGCTCGGGGAGTGGCTAAAACCCTTAAATAGGAGCCATGGGACCCTGACCCTTCTTTTTTTGGGGAGGAATGACCCCTTTTTCTCCTCATTTCCAGGTAATTGGTGGCTGTGTCGCTGTCCCCTCCACGGGGACGAGCTTGCTTTGAGCTCTGTTCTGCCGTGGGGTGGCCTTTACCTGGTAAAGTGCTGCTTTAGCAACGAGATGTGTTTTTTTCTGCTTTATTTCCCCGTGTGAGCAGCCGAACCTGCCTGGTTTTGGGGGGGTGGGCAGTGGGATTTTTGGGGTGCAGCCCTGAGCATCGCTGCACAGCCTCTGTAGGGCTGGGGGCGGCCCCAAAGATACTGGGGATGCCCCATGGTCTCATTCCCGCTGTCATCTCCCCCCAGTTTTTATATAGAATAGCTATTTTAAAGCTATTTTAATGAGGTTTTAGCTAAAAGAACTATTTATTGTGACCTTTTTGCCCTGTCCCAGCCAGGGCAGATCCCAGTGGTGCTGCTGCATCTGGGTTTGCTGGTTCTCCCCCCCGGGGCTGGAGGGGGGATGCACTGGGTGCTATGGGGCTGGGGTCCTGGTTGCTGATCATGGTCTGGGGGGGGGGTCCCTGCTTCCCTCTGCCCCCTCCTCAGCTGTTTTGCCCCATCTCCTCGCAGGGGGCACCCACTCCTCACCCTTCTCCACTCATGCTCCCCCCTCCCCAAGCCCTGCACCCCAGGGCACGCGGTGACCCCACAAGCAGGGCGGGGGGCTCACAGAGAGCCAATTTGGGGGCGCAGGGACCCCGCTGGGTGGCTGCCACCCCCTTGGCCTTGTCGTAGCACCCCGACACCCCCCGGCTCACCTGCAGCACCCCGGAGCCCTCGCCGCTCTCTCCGCTCGCTTCTTCCACCGCTGTCCCCCAGGCATCCTGCTCAGCCCCCCCCCCCCCCCCCCCCCTTGCCCGCCCCCCTGATGGGTGCCCCGGCCCCGCAGCCCTGCCCAAGGACAGAGCCTCATTCACAGCAACCGGGGCAGGCGCCAGGGTGGGGGTTAGGAAAACACGGGGGCCCCACGGCGGAACAAGAGGAGCCATTGATGGGCTGAGGAAGGCGGCGGTCAGGCTGCGGCGCGTGCTGCTCTCGCTTGCACCCGGATTTGGGGTGTCCCCCCCCCCCCAATACTTCCCCCAGGGGCGCGTGGCACCCTGTGCGTGCACAGCTCGTGGGTGGCCGGCTCCTGTTGCAAATGGGGGCACCTCTTGCCTGCACCCCAAGGCGCATTTCCTGCACCCCATGGTGTGTTTGCACCCCATTATACATTTCCTGCACCCCACGGCACTTTTCCTGCACCCCACAGCAAGCACAGAGCCCCCGCACCCAGTTCCCATCCCCACTCCCATCACCTTTGTGTCCTTGTGCCCCCCACTCCCCACACCAGCTTTTCTGGGCACCCCTGGCTGTGTGGGGTGGGGGCACCCTGAGCTGTGTGACCCCACCTTGTGCCAGCAGCCCCCCACCTTTCACTGCGTCCCCCCTCTTACCTCTCCTTTCCTCCCACACTAGAGGGGGGGGCACAGCACAAAGCCCCCTTGGCCACGGGTGCTCCCCAAACCCTCCCCAGCCCCCTGCTCTCTGGGGGTGGCTCCCACTGTCCCCCCCACCCCTCTCTGTTGGGCTGAGCAGGGGGGGGGGGGAGGAGGAGGAGGAGGAGTGGGGGGGGGTGTGGGGGCTGCACAGGGGCGGGCGGTGAGGACGGGAGCGCAGAAGCGTGGCAGGAGGAGAGCGGTGAGGACACGGCGAGGGGGGGCTCCCGTTCCCCGAACCCCAATTCCCCCAAAATCCATCCCCGAGCATCCCCGGCGACGCGGGAGAGACGAGGGTGCGAGCGGCACAGGTTTGTCGGATCATTTCACATGCTTTATTTCAGCAGTCAAAATAATTAAAAACATCTCAAATTATTATACATATACAAACTAGGTACAGACTCCTGGAGCATCCGCCTCGCCGGGAGATGGGCCGGCGGTCGGGGTGGGTTCGGCCCCTCCGCACGGCAAGAGAGGAGGAGAGAGGCTGGGGGGGCGCGGGGGGCAGAGAAGCGAGGGGAGATGATGATGATGATGATGATGGATGGATGTGTGGATGGATGGATGGAGAAAGAGCTGCTGGAAGATGAGAGCAGAGATGGAGTCCACCTGCGAAGCCCGGGAGCCTGGGCTGCTTTCCCCGTGCTTTCCTTTCCCTTCCAAGGCTTTTTTGGCTCGACCTTGCATTTGCCTCCGTGCCTCGCTGTCGGGATGCGTGGGGGTGTGGGGTTAAATAGCACCTTTAGAAAATTCACAAGTCGACCCGGGCAGCAAAAGGATGAAGGGGAATTAATAAAAAATAAAAATAAATCTAGAGGGAAATTCAAAAATCAACCCAAGACTTGCATCCGTTCAGGCAGCCCCGTGTCTGTAGCACCAGACGGTCCCCAGCTCGGTGGCTTTGCGCCACTTGAGCCTCTGAAATGGGACCGAAATAAAAGAGCAAAAATCAGGACAAAAGTCCCGGGGAGGGGGGAAAACCCCAGAACTCCAGGGGGACCTTGAACGGAGGGGAAAAAAAAGAATAGCAAAAAAAAAAAATAGGGAAAAAAAAAATAGACAAAACTTAGCACCTTTGCTCTGAACCTGGCAGGAAAGTCCCGGCACGGCTGAAAAAAAAAAAAAAACAACAAAAAGTTAAAAAAAAAAAGATACTAAAACTACTTGAAAAAAAATTTAAAAAATATTAACCAAAACCACAGCTGTGAGGTAGCCTTCCAGAAAAGGAGAATATGCACTGATGGGTCCAGGTTTGCTCCGCTCCAGGGCTTTGGCTGTCGGGGTGGACTCGGGGAGCTCCCCCCTGCGGAACCGGGGCTCGGCTGCAAAAAGCGGGGTGGTGGCGGCTCCGGGCTCCCAGGTCCCCGCGGGTTGCTAGGGGTTGTGTTATTTTTGCTGCCTGAACAAAAGAAAAAAAAAAAAAAAAAGAAAAAAAAAAAAAAACAACAAGGAGGGGGGAAGAGAGAGGGGGAAAAAAAAAAAACAACATCGACAAGAAGCAGATTATAACCGAGAGTTAAACAGCTCCCTTTCAGGAAAAAAAAAAAAAAAAAAAAAAGAGAGAGAAAAAAAATGAAATGCAAGAAGCAAAGAGCCCAGTGGAGAAAGGTCGGCCCGAGTTTGCGTTCGGGTGCTCCCCGGCTCCGGGGCTCGGCGCGGGCGGCCCTGTGGGGTGTGAGCATCGCGGGCTCGGCGCTGTCGGGGAGCCCGAGCGGTGCCGTCCGCGGGGCTTAGGGCAGACCGACACCGAGGAGGAGGAGGAGGAGGAGAGGAGGGCAAGCAAGCGAACCCACTTCCTGGTTATTTTGTTTGAAAAGTCATTTATTTTTTTTTTTATTTTTTTTTTTAGGTTTAATGCTTTTTTTGATGTTTTTTTTTTAGTTTTTTTTTTTTTTTTATGGAAACGCAAATAATTTTAGAGACGCTGGAATAGAAACCGACACGAATTCAAGTCCATGTGAAATTTTCTCCTTTTTTGGCTGTTTTTTTTTGTTTTTTTTTTATTATTATTATTATTATTATTACTCTCTCCTGTTACGCGTGGGGGGGGGGTCCGGTTTACAAGAAGCAGACGGGGCCGATGTCGATGCCGAATTCCTGGTCCGGAGCTCCAACGTCCATGGGGGCCAAGTCGATGATGGGCAGGCGGGACGTCTTTGTCGTCTTGTACTCGATGACTGTCTTGCCCCAAGCGCCGGTGTGACTCTGCAGGAAGGGGGGGCAATCAGGACCCCCGAATCCCCCCGAATCTCCCCTACGAATCCCCTTTAACTCCTCCCCAAACCCCCCGTCCCCGCTCACCGTGCAGCCGTCCTCGGTGACGCCGTAGGTGAAGCGGCTGTTGCCCTCGGCCCTGATCTCGATTTCGTTGGCGCCCTGGAGGAGCAGGGCCTTCTTCAGGTTGCCCGTGTCCTGGTCCATGTAGGCGACGCTGTTCTTGCAGTGGTAGGTGATGTTTTGGGCAGCCTCGGTGGACATCAGGCGGAGGAAGGTCAGCTGGATGGCCACGTCGGCCGGGTTGGAGCCCTCGCCGCCGTACTCGAACTGCCAGGGAAGAGGCGTTAGGCACCGCGGTGCTCATCGTCCCTACCCCATGTGTGGGTCCCCGTGGGTCCCCCCCGGCGCCCCCCATCTCACCTGGAAGCCGTCGCTCATCGTCTCGCCGAACCAGACGTGTTTCTTCTCCTTGGGGTTCTTGCTGAGGTACCAGTTCTTCTGGGCGATGGTGGCCTGGGTTGGGTAGACGCAGGTCTCGCCCGTCTCCATGTTGCAGTAGACCTTGATGGCGTCCAGGTTGCAGCCTTGGTTGGGGTCGATCCAGTACTCGCCTGCGGGGAAGGGACGGGGTCAGGGGGTCGGGGGGGGGCGAGGGAGGGTAAAGGTGGAGCGGGATGGGGCATAGGTGGAAGGATGGAGGCGAGGAATGGAGGTGAGGGGCAGGGGATGGAGGCGAGGAGCAGGATGGAGAGGTGGAGGATGGAGAGGTGGAGGGCGCAGGGGGTGGAGGGGAACTGGGAGAGGGGCGCAGGGGGTGGAGGGGAACTGGGAGAGGGGGCAGGGGTTGGAGGGGAACTGGGAGAGAGTGCAGGGAATGGAGGTGAGGAGCAGGTAGAGGGTACAAGGGATGGAGGGGAACCGGGAGAGGGCCCAAGGGATGGAGATGAGGAGGGAGAGGGTGTAGGGGATGGAGAGGAGCAGGGAGAGGGCACAGGGGATGGAGGTGAGGAGCAGATCAGAGGGATGGAGGTGAGGTGGAGGTGAGGAAGGTGAGGATGACCCATGAGAGATGAAGGTGAGAGCAGCCATAGGAGATGAAGGACGGAGGTGAGGAGCAGGTAGGAAGGACAGCGGTGAGATGACCGTGGGGTTGACACAGGGACACCGACCGCTCTTCCAGTCGCCGTGGCACATCTTGAGGTCGCGGCAGGTCCGGGCTGGGTTCTTGCGGGTGCCCTCGGGGCTGCGGATGTTCTCGATCTGCTGGCTCAGGCTCTTGAGGGTGGTGTCCACCTCCAGGTCGCGGTCGCGCATCACGTTGGCGTCGTCGGCTCGGTAGTAGCGCCCGCCGTCGTGAGCCTTCTCCTGGGGGGGCTGGGGCAGGAAGCTGAAGTCGAAGCCGCCGCTGGGGGGGCCAGGGAGGACCTGGGGGGCCAGGTGGGCCGGGGGGACCCTGCGGGAGGAGGAGGATGGTGAGCACCAGATGAAGGCAGGAGGCTCCGGGCGAGCAGCAGCAGGATGGATACGCACAACAGGGCCGACGTCGCCGGTGCGACCGCGGGGGCCGGGGGGACCGATGGGGCCGGGCAGCCCGTTGAGACCGTCTTTGCCGGCGGCACCAGCGGAGCCAGGAGGACCCTACGGGAGCAAAGAGGCCGTGAGCACGGAGGTGTCCCCAGCATCACATCGGGGACCGGGTCCCCGTGCAGCCCCCAGGAGGATGCCCCAACCCTGGCTGGGGGTCGTGGCTCAGGAGGGGACTTACTCGTGGACCAGCAGGGACCAGAAGCACCAGAAGGACCTTGTTCACCAGGAGCGCCCTGTGCAAAGAGAGAGAGGGAGAAAAGGGGCACGTTGGCACCTCGCTCTGCTCCGGGACGTGGGGCAGCAACATCCACTGGCCACCGTCACCCCGTGGTACTTACAGGAGGACCGGGTGGGCCCTGGAGACCGGAGAAGCCTCGGTGACCCTTCATGCCTCTGTCACCCTGCTCGCCAGTTTCACCTTTGTCACCACGGGGACCTTGGGGACCCTGTTGGAGGAGGAGGAGATGGGCTGAGCGGGGGCCAGGCCAGCCACTGCCCCCGCATCCAAGGGGATGCAGAAGCACGAAGGAGGACGCAGGGGGGACACCAACTTACAGCAGGACCACGAGCACCAGCGGGACCAGGGGGGCCAGCGGGACCAGCGGGACCCTGGGATGGGAGAAAAGGGGACGGGTCAGAGCGTTCCCCACTTTTGGTGGTGGAGCATCACCCCGAGCAGGGCGCCCACGATCCCTTCCCGGGCTGGGAATCTCCATCTAGCGGTGGGAGCCGAGCCCAGGGCCGGATTCTGCCCCGCTGTGGCCTCGCAGGAGGAGCCCTTGCTCCGTAACGGGATGGAGAGGACGGATCCTGGCGCCCTGGGGGGGTGGGGAAGGTGGGTGGGGGTCTCCTTGCACCGAGCATCACTTACGGTCTCACCGCGATCTCCGTTCTTGCCAGCAGGACCGACGGGGCCAGGGGCACCGGGGGCACCGGGAGCACCAGGGGGGCCAGCGGGGCCGGTCTCACCACGGTCACCCTGCGAGGAGGAGGAGGAGGAGGAGGAAGAGGAGGAAGATGAGAGCTCAGCACAGGCGAGCGCAGCCCCAGCGCCCCCTCCCAGCACCCCAACCGTGGGCACTCACCTTGGGACCAGCAGCACCATCGCGACCGGGGGCACCTTCGGCACCGGGAGCACCCTGTGGGAGAGCAGAGACCCCTCGTTAGGGCACGCTAACGAGGTCCTGGGTGGCACCGGCCGTTGACCCCAGCACCCATGGGTGCCACGAGCCGGCACGTGCTCAGTGCAGCAAACCCACGCCCCCCCCCTTCACCCCCCGGCACCACACCGATGCTCACCTCACGTCCAGCTTCGCCAGGGGGGCCAGCCAGGCCGGGGGGGCCCATGGGGCCGGGAGGACCGCGCTCGCCAGGAGAACCAGAGGGACCTTGCTTGCCGGGTTCGCCCTACAGAGGGGAGAGCGCACGGGGATGCGTCGGACACCGGGGAGCATCCCCCAGCCTCGGGGGGGCCGCACCGGTGAGCTGGGGACCGGGGTGGGGGTCCCGTGGGGGGGTACTCACAGAGGGGCCGGGCAGCCCAGGGAAGCCTCTCTCGCCTCTCTGTCCGGGGAGGCCGACAACACCGCGTTGGCCAGCGATACCTTGGGGTCCGGGGGTGCCAGGAGCGCCCTGGGGGGGGCAAACAGCACCTCAGGGGGGTGGCAGCGGCCGTCACCTCCCTCCCGATGGAGGGGATAACCGAGGGACGTCGGCTGTGACACTGCCTGGTATCCGTGAAGGTGTCACATCACTTGGGGAGGGGGGGGTGACTTACAATGGGGCCGTCAGCGCCGGGGGAGCCTTTTTCACCAGGGGGTCCGGGGGGGCCGGCAGGTCCGGGCTCACCGGGGCGGCCAGCGGGGCCAGTCTCACCGCGGGGTCCTTTGCCACCTTCCTTGCCGCTGGGGCCGGGGGGGCCGGGGAGGCCGATGTTACCCTGGGTAGGAGTGGAGGGGGGGGGTGATGCCGTCAGGCTGATGCCTCAGCTCAGGGCCCCCCCCTCGCCGTCACCGCTGGCTGAAGGGCAGCCAGGGGCGTCCCGGTGCCAAGTGGGCCAAGGCGGCCGCGTGGAGCCGGCTGGACCCGTGCCCGGCATCCCCACGGTGCCAGCACCCTCCTATCCCCCCCCCCTCCTGCCACACGTCTCACCCCTTCGGGGGGGGGGACACGGTACTCACAGAGGGGCCGGGGGGTCCAACTCTTCCAGCAGCACCAGGGAAACCAGTAGCACCCTGCAAGGGGGAGAAGCTGGAGTCAGGTGCGGGGCCGCATCCTGGCACCGACCGCAGGGTCCGGGGCCAGGGGACCGTCCCCTGGCTGAGGGTCACCACGGGGAGCCCCAGGAGGAGAGTGCTCATCCCCGGGGATGGAGAGCAGCTGCAGGTTTAGGGGGGTGAGCGTACCCCCCCCATTTTTCCATCCGTTCCATCCCCTATAGGATGAACCCCCCCTTCTCCATGCACCGTCCTCCCAAAGGGCTTTGGGGTGCTCACACACATTTTGGGGAGCAAGAGGCAGGAAGGGCTGAGCCACCCATGGGTGCACGCACCCAACCCCATCCCCAGGGGGCTGCACAGCCCCGTCCCCCCCTCCCCCATACAAGAGCCAGGCTGGTACTTACAGGGGGTCCAGCGCTACCGCGAGCACCTTTGGGACCGGGAGCACCAACAGCACCCTGAGGAAGAGGAGGAAGAGGAGGGTGAGCCACACAGAGGGGCCAGATCCAAGGGGGATGTGGGGCGGGGGGGGGCACGACTTACGGCAGGGCCAGGAGCACCAGTGGGGCCAGCGGGGCCGGGGGGGCCAGCGTCACCCTTGGCTCCAGCATCGCCAGTTTCGCCTTTAGCACCAGGCTGGCCATCGGCACCCTGCGGGAGAGCGCAGCGCGGTGAGCAGGGGGGGGGCACAGCTTCATCCCCGCTCATGGCGGTGGTGGTGGTGCAGGATCAGGCCCACGGGGGAGGGAGAAGCACTTACGGGGGGGCCAGCAAATCCAGCAGGACCGGGGGGGCCGGGCTCGCCGCGGTCACCCTAGGGGAGAAGGCAAAAGAGCGGGCGTCACGCCGGGCAGGGGACGGCCACCGCCGGCAAGGGGTGGCCACTTGATGGCAAGGGTTGGCCACTTGATGGCAGGCCAGCCCTCGGGGTGCCGGGACACTTACGGGAGCACCACGGGCACCAGTGGGACCAGCAGGACCGGGGGGACCGGCTTCACCCTGGCAGAGGGACACGAGGAAAGACCCCGAGGTTAGAGTCGTGGCGAGGAGGTGGCACAGGGGGCGCAGGGCCACGTCCCTGGCACAGGGTCCAGCCAAGGGACGTCCCTACCTTGTCACCAGGAGCACCAGCGGGGCCGGGGGGGCCAATGGGGCCAGTCAAGCCTCGGAGACCGTCTTTGCCAGGAGCGCCATCAGCACCTTTGGGACCGGGGTCGCCCTGGGAGGAGAAGACACAGCGGGGTTACCTGCAGAGCTCCAACCCAGGGGGGGCACCCCACTGCTCTGCACCCCACTGCTCTGCACCCCAGGGTCTTCATCATCCCCAGAGGGGCTGAGACCCTCCTACTCCTCCTCCTTGGCCATGCAGAAGAGCAGGGCTCAGCTCCCAGCTCACAGCAAGGGGCTGTCCCCAAGGGGCACGAGCGTCCCCGAGCATCCCATCCCCGTGGCTCCGGCTTTGCTCAGGGGAGCCCCAGCAGGTGGGGGGGCGAGCGGCTGCAGGAGGGAACAGGGCTGCGAGCAGAGGATGGAGGGGACACATCGGGATCTTGGGGACACGTACTCTGTCACCCTTGGCGCCTGGCAGGCCGGCAGCACCACGTTCTCCGGGCATCCCCTGCAGACCGGGGGGCCCTTGGTTTCCGGGGGCACCGGGAGCACCAGCATCACCCTGGGCAAGAGAGATGGAAATAAGGAATTAGTCAGCAATCAGCACCGCTTTGGTGGAGAAAATTCCTCCCTGGAGATGTCCTGGAGGGCAGAGACTTCGCACCTACCTTAGCACCATCGTTACCGGGAGCACCATTAGCACCACGAGGACCCTGGGGACCAGGGGGGCCTTGGACACCGCGTTCACCAGGGAAACCTCTCTCGCCCTGCGGGAGGGGAAGAAAAGGAGCTGAGCACATCAGCGGGGCACTGGGGGGGCAAAACCCATCTCGGGGATGAGCGGGGGTCAACTTACTCTGGCACCAGCAGGACCGGGGGCACCAGCATCTCCGGGGACACCCTGTGATGGAGGCAGAGGTTGCAGGAGTTAGCGCGGGGAGGGGAACACGCAAGGTGGCCCTGGGGACAGAGGGGATGAGGGGGGGGCATGGTGTTGCCCGCACTCACCTGCTCACCGGGCTTGCCAGCCTCACCAGGGGGGCCAGCGGGGCCTGGCAGACCCTGCGGAGGAAGAGGAAGAAGAGGAAGAGGAGGTGAGACGTGGCGAGGTGAGCCACCGAGGGAGGGAGGTGGCACTGCCACCGCCACGCGGCATTCGTCCCCTTGCAGGGAGAGGGGACCCCCCTCACCTGGAAGCCGGGGGCACCAGCAGGACCTTGTTCACCTCTTTCTCCAGCGGGACCCTGGGGGAGAGGGGAGAAGCGTGAGGCCGGGTGGGGGGCTCCAGAGCTCCTGCTCCAGCAGCCGAGCCCGGCGCTGGGTGGCATTGGGCACCGCGGTACTCACAGTAGGGCCGGGGGGACCTTGGGCACCAGCTTCACCGTCTTTGCCAGCAGCACCCTGCAGAAGGGAGGGGAGAAAGAGGGTGCTCAGAGCTCGCCCGCCACCTCCAGGTGATTTTAGAGAGCTGAACCCGCCGGGCTCTGCACCCCGAGCAATGTTTGGGGCTGGATTTGGCCGTAGCATCCTTCCAAGGAGCAGAGGAGCGGCGGCGAGCTGCCCGCGGCCACGTCACCTCCCCGCTGTCCCCGCTCCAGGGGTGCTGGCAGCCACCAGCCCTGAGTCCTGGCCACCACAGCTCGTCGTGGCAGGTTCCCCCCTTGGAGCTGTCCCCAACCCCACAGGACCCCAGCCCCACACATCCCCAGCCCCACACATCCCCAGCCCCACACATCCCCAGCCCCTTGGGGATACTCACGACAGCGCCAGGGGGGCCGGGAGCACCTCTCTCACCGGGTTTGCCAGGCTCACCCTAAAAGCAAAAGAGAGAGCGGGATGAGACCCACACCAAGACCACAGCACCCACGGGACCAAGCCTGTGGGGCTGCACAAACCCCATGGGGACCGGGGGGAGTGTCCCCTGAGCCCCCCCTCACTGGGTGCCTGCTCCTCGTGCCCACCCGCAGCCCTCCTGGGTGGGGAGCCCTCGGGGAGCACCCCAGTGTCCACGGGGCGGGCACCCCGGGCTCGAGCAGCCCCACGAGGGACACAGCTCCTGTTTGTACTCACCGCAGCACCTTTGGGACCAGGGAAACCCATCACGCCGGCTTGGCCTCTGGCTCCGGGTGGGCCTGGGGGGCCGGGGCGACCGTCTTGACCAGCGGGGCCCTAGGGTGGGGGGAGCAAAGACCCCGTTAGCAAAGGGCACGGGGAGCCAAGGGGGGAGCGGGGCGGGTGGTGGGTGCTACTTACGGGGGGACCAGTCTTGCCATCAGGACCAGGGCTGCCAGGGCTCCCAGTCAGACCCTAGAAAGGAGCGAGGGGGGGTTAGGGCGTCAGGCACCGGGTTGCTGCTGGCCGTGGGAGATGCTCCAGCGAGCGAGCAGTGTGGAGAGCGACCTCCTCCATAGCCCGGTGACCCTAGAAGGGGGCCACCAAGCTGTCCCCAGCCCCTCCATGCCATGCCCCTGCCACGCTCACCTTGGCACCGGGGAGACCGGGTTCACCGGGGCGGCCAGCTTCACCGGGAGAGCCCTTGGGGCCAACGGGGCCGGGGGAGCCGCGCTCGCCGGGGGGACCCTGGAGGGAAAGGGACAGCAGTGAGCCCGGCTGCAGGGCATCAGCGGGGACAGGGGCAGGAGCCGTGCCACGGGGTGAGGTGGTGGCACAGCACCGGCTTCGGCACCGCCTGACCCCAATTGGGGGGTGTAGGGGGGGTGACAAGTGCACCACGTCCCCCACAGCCCTGCTGGAGACACGGCACCGTGCCCTGTGCAGGAAGGAGAGGGGGGGCACCTACCTTGGGACCAGCGATGCCATCAGCACCAGGGAAGCCACGGCTGCCGGGAGCACCCTGCGAGGGACGGGAGAGGGGTCAGGGTGGATGTGGGGGGTGCGGGGGCTCGGGGAAGGGGGTGGCGATGTGGGGCTGAGCCTGCAGGGAGCAGCCCTGGTGGCTCGTGAGATGCTCCACCGTGGGTTTTGGGGGGGGGTCCCAGAGTGGGTTGGGTGCCACTGGGGACAGCACCAGACCCCCAGGGAGAACCCCCCAGGCTCAGACACTGGATGGGGTGTGCAGAGATGAGGGGAGGATGGGGATGGGGATGGGTACACGATGGGGACACGCTGGGGATGGCTCCCACTCACTCTT